TGTATCACATAAATATTCCGACACCACACCAAATTGAAATGGACCTATTAAAATTACCTTTGCCGTGTGTTTGCTGTTTCCTTTACTTATTATGAAAGTAAATACTGTGTTTGCATCTTTGTTTAAATTAACCGCCTACTTTACCCCCTTTCATTGCTCTTCGCTTAAATATATATGAAAATATATATGTATAGGTGTGGGAGATTTATATATAAATGTAGTATTTTTTTTCTTGTGGGGTCTGCAGTGAATACACGCCTGCTTCCAATACGCATGCGTGCTCAAGACGCAGACGGCATCTCTCGTATGTATTAACGTGACTACAATACCCACTACTAAAATAAAATAAAATAAAAATAAGCAAAAAAAAAAATTGACTTCTTTCCAACTTTTTTCACTAAAATGTTTTAATGCTTTTTCCGCAGACATTTTTCTTCTGCCAACATTAGAGAGAAACGTGCCACTCCACCTTCCATACGTACACAGACAATGATTTTAAAGGCGGAGTGAAATGGCCTGTTTTTCTAAGAGGAGTGCCGGCGAAGCTAAATCACAGACGTAGTATCGATTTGTTAGTGAAGAGGGGGCCGAACTATGTACCTGGCTCCTTGGTACGCTAGCTTCTGTTTCTAGGCAGCGTGTATACATATAAGTTATTGATTGCTTTCAATCGCTGTTAAATGAAAAGAAGCGTGTTGTCTCTCAACCGTTTCGGATCTGGATTTTTACTTAACCCTTTGTAATATCGACAAATTGTATAGGGTATACAGATAAACACTTTTTCTTTCCCTTTTACTATTCAATTGCGCCGGGAATAACTAACTCCTTCTGCCATGTTTTATCTTGACAAGTGTCAGAATAGACCAAAAAATTGTGTATGGCTCTTATGGAGTTGCTCAATTGTCATTTCAGCCTTGTGAGAGTTAAAATCGTTCACACAGTCTCCAGTAGAAGAATTATTGTCTATTCTGCAACCTCTTTCACAAACACGCAAGTCTATCGCAATTCTATCGCTATTTCTTTGGCAAACAATGAAGTGAGCTGTATTCTAGAGTTGCAAATGCTCTGAAATTTAAAACTAGGATACGCTGTGCTATTTTCATGGTCTCAGCACACCTCATTTTCTTCGTGGTCTAAACACAATACGAAAGTTCCACTCAGAGAGATTTTTCACAACAAGAAGTGCCACCTGTGTGTATCAAACTCCTACATGGGGCATTATCAACCATTTTAATGTTGACTTCTTCGTCAAATCTCAGTTGTTATAGATCCTCATAAATATCACTCCCTACCAACTAAACTTTCATTCATCAAACATACCCCATTCGACATCACCATTTCTACTTTAATCCTCTAGCTTGATTGCTTCTCGTGCCTTGTGGCGCGGGGAAACACATATGATAATCATTTGTTTTTAAGTTGAAATGAGTAATTTCATCTGTAGGTGTAAAAGCTATTTTTTTAATTTTCCAATATATCAAGGAGTTGATATTGGACCCACCCAAAATGCCAAAATTTGAGCCCTTCCAACTTTTGAATAATTGCGGTAAACAATCTTCCTATATATCATGTGGCCTTATGCCATACTCAGCGAAATTTAGTAAAGGACAAAAGTATTCTATTGATAATACCGTGCCTATTAATCGAAATAGTTGCACAAATATTTCTGAGTGAATTAGTTTCAGACCGGAGAAAAAAAAAAACCTGTAAAGTGTGGATTTTAGAAGTATGCAAGGTGCCTTAGCTTATCGACTCAACACTATATCCTTCGTATCAACCTCATCCATTTAAAATCTTGTGACGTCTTGTGACGTCTTCTTCTTCTTCTTCTTCTATATGCCCTGTCCTTTTAAGACATTGACGATCATGGCTCTCCACAATTTCTTGTCCTTTGTAGCTCTTAGTATATTCTATCTTTTTACAATCACTCCTAAACGCAGTTCTATCATCCATTTACTCAAGCTCTTCAGGTAGGTTATGCAATGTTTTCTTCTGTCTGTCTTGCTTTCAATATGTCCTGTGAGTATCAAATTTTCCAAGCTCTCTTTCCTAAATTTGTGTCTTAGAAATTACAAGTCTCTTTCTGGTGTTCAGTATAAGTGTCATTTTTTATTCATTTTCTCTAAAGTTTCATCGTTTCTCACATGTTCAGTCCATAGTATTCTCAGCATCCTTCTGTAGAACCATTTTTTTTTGCTTCAAGTCTTTATTTGAGTTGTGATGCGACTGTCCAACATCCACTGCAATATAGGAGGGCCGATATAATATACACTTTTCTTTTTTTTTCTGAAAAAAAATCATGTTTATAAATTCTTTGCTTAGCTTTTGGAAGGCATATTTCACTCTCTAAATGCATGCTTCGGATTTCGGTGTCGTATTGTCCATCCTCTGTTAAAACATTTTCCAATTATTTAAATTGTTGCACTTGCAGGCGATAAAAAATATCAAAGAATGACAAAGGTGAGTAAGAAAAGTTCCATTTTTACTGATTAGTTGCGCATGCGCTATCTGCTTTGTAGCTTTAACATTATGAGATTGCCTTTTATTCTTCATCATGTAAGACTTGAGGGATCCTGAGCACATAGCAGTTAACATTTCCAAGAATAATTCTCTAAATATGGGAATTGGGATTTGTTGTATCATACCCCGTGTTTTTAAAAGCTCAACAAGATAGATATAAAAAGAAAGGAGACGATATAGAACAGATCAATAAAATACGAACATATACAGATAAATAAAAACTATGAACAGATATATGCATGTTTTATATAACTATTTTTTTTTTTGGCAATATGAGAAGTTCATAACAGTTTCTGTCTGTGTGTATGGGTTCATATACATTATGTGTGACTTGTACTTTATGATATAAATCTCTGTTTTTTTTTTCTTTCTTTACTGCAGATATTTGTGGAGGGAGTAGCCATAGTCAAATGAAAAATAAGTACAGAACTGTCAAACAAACAGAATTGATAATCGTTTGCAACAAACTATAAGAAAAAGATCAGACTACTAAATAGCAAATTAACAGTAATAAGTCAAATTAACAGTAACATAGCAAAAAGTTAACAAATTACTGAATTGGGTTCGACACAGAAAAGCAAGTTCGGATAAGTGAACGTAGCGTTCTGACTTCAAGACAAGACAGATCGGGACTAAGCCAAATTAAACCGAAAATTTGGTTAGTAAAAAAAAACAGCCTTTCTCCCTGTTATAGTGAAACACACCTATTCTATAGTTAATAGACTCTCCGACCTATAATTAGTAGGAGTAGTAAGAGTAACGAGTCAATCGCTCAGTAGGTCGGTCAGTCAGTCAGTCGATGCCGGACGACCGTTAGTCGGATACTAAAGTATCAGCGACCACAACTAGATTACTCTGCGTGTAATTACTATGATATGAAGTTCCTAACGTTTTGTACGTCGAATCTATTTTAGGACCGGCTTAGTACAAATACAAGGCTCCACTGTGAAATCACTCCATAACACTCCCATTTCACATTCGGCCGTGTGCCACAATTTTTGTTGTAAAAAATCCCAGAAATAAATATTCATTCCCAGCAAGATTATATTGTTTTCTTTCCCGAATTTAATAGTGAGTGTGTTGCTTGATTCTATCGAACGGCAGAATAAGTGGCCGCTCTTATTATTTGAAGGTTGGACGGGTCCTACAAACATCTGTTTTGTTTTAGCTTGTTTTATGAATCTGTCTATATTTATGAGATGAGGTATTATGTTTACATTATTCGGACTACTGTCCTCATCTTTGTCACCATATTTATTACAAAGTTTCGGCCCTCCAGTATCTGTCTATATTTCTGAGATGAGGTATTATGTACATTATTTACATTATTCGGACTATTGTCCTCATCTTTGTCGCCATATTTATTACAACGTTTCGGCCGTTGTACACTCCGGCTTTCTCAGGTGGTTGGAATGTCGAATTGAACCCTTTATTTCACTCACTGGGGTAGACTGTTCTAGTTCCACGTGCCATGTTTAATGGATGTCAGTTATTTCCTGTTAATTCCCCTCTCCAAGTTCTCCACTGCCTTAACCAAGTATTGAACTTACACTCTTTGGGTCTTGACAGTGGATCTAATTAAAGCCTTTATCCACCGTGCCATGTGTCTTTGAAGACATCTGTTTCATTTTTTTACCAGTGCTCATATTGCAACTTTTGCTGTTATCATTGCATGTTTTTTACCATAGCTCATATTGCAATATTTTGTTGTTGCTATCGCTTTTCTGACTCTCCATATCATTAGTTCCCATATTGTATTCATTTTTGTGGTCTAGCATATGTGCTGATTCTTTAAGTTTACGTATTTCCAATGATTTGTTTTTGGTTTCATTCTTTAGTTTTCTTTTCGGGTTCATTTCCTCTCCCCGACCCTATCATTTTTTATTATTATATAATTTTTTATATATTTTTGTTTAAATAAAGAAAGAAAAAATACCAAAAAATACATTATTAATTTTAAATCATGGGTTGTTTTGTATGTCCAATTTGCAAAACTCAGAACAAAATTCAAATGGTCGAAATGTAAAGATTCAAAATGAACAAGTAAATAAATGCAACATATAAATGAATCGAATGAAAATAAATAAATAATCTGGATGTTGATTGATTAATTGGGTGTTTTTTACTGTTTATCACCCTTTTGCAGGATATTCAAAGCCAGAAAATATTTTTTTATCTTGTAAGAATATTTTGAAGATAATAATGATTTACTGATAAAAGTACCACTAATTAACCTATAGCTGGGGGAGAAGAAGTGGATTCATACATTTCGCAAAGTTATATGCGTGTAAGTAAATATGGTAAACGTGGCTGGAATTGGAACAGAGCACACCGATTTCAAATTCCGAGCAGGTATCCATTACACACCCGACCATGCAAAGTTACAGCATCTGGCATTTCCACGTAGACACCCATCTAGATAGATAGATAGATAGATAGATAGATAGATAGATAGATAGATAATATGAACAAAGTAAGAGCTATGTACGTGGACAGCAGATAGATAGATAGATAGATAGATAGATAGATAGATAGATAGATAGATTATTATATGAACAAATTGAGGGAAATATACGCGGACAGCAGATAGATAGATAGATTATATGAACAAAGTAAGAGATAGGTACGCGGACAGCAGATAGATAGATAGATAGATAGATAGATAGATAGATAGATAGATAGATTATATGAACAAAGTAAGAGCTAGGTACGCGGACAGCAGATAGATAGATAGATAGATAGATAGATAGATAGATAGATTATATGAACAAAGTAAGAGATAGGTACGCGGACAGCAGATAGATAGATAGATAGATAGATAGATAGATAGATAGATAGATTATATGAACAAAGTAAGAGCTAGGTACGCGGACAGCAGATAGATAGATAGATAGATAGATAGATAGATAGATAGATTATATGAACAAAGTAAGAGATAGGTACGCGGACAGCAGATAGATAGATAGATAGATAGATAGATAGATAGATAGATAGATAGATAGATAGATAGATTATATGAACAAAGTAAGAGCTAGGTACGCGGACAGCAGATAGATAGATAGATTATATAAACAAATTGAGGGAAATATACGCGGACAGCAGATAGATAGATAGATAGATAGATAGATAGATAGATAGATAGATAGATTATATGAACAAAGTAAGAGATAGTTACGCGGACAGCAGATAGATAGATAGATAGATAGATTTTATGACCAAATTAAGAGATAGATACGCGGACAGCAGATAGATAGATATAAAAAGATTTTTACTGATGCACTTCGATAGATAGATATGAACAGACTGCTACTGATGCACTTAGATAGATAGATAGATAGATAGATAGATAGATAGATAGATAGATAGATAGATTTCGTGAATATAGGAATCAACATTGCATGGTGACTGTCAACATCGTGACTCACTATTATCTATAGCTTTTTTTGTTTTGTTTTTTTTTCAAATGGACTCTCCAAGTTTAAGTGCTATTTTGGCAAACCCTCTCTATATTTAATTCTTTTATTGGATTATATCTTCTTTATATTGCATGACTTTTATAATGTTCCTTGCCATACTTTATGAGAATGCATTTACCTGGAGGAAAACATGATTTCAATGAAGCTTACAATGTTGTTTAACGGGCCTGACTTTATAGATTTATGGCTTCTTGTACATTGCTAACCGAATCGTTCCAAGCCAATAAGTAAATTTGTGCTTTTTTCCCGAGCGTAACAAATGTCCACAACAGCAGTTTGTAATATTTTGGGACACTGCGTTGTTGAATTTTTCTCTTTAAGGGGCGATGTTACTTCAGGATGTAGGGGATCCTGGCCGTTTCCACTCTCTTATTTTAAAGCTGCGCATTCGATTTCTATAGCTGTGGAGTGATTTTTTCTTCTTATTTTATCTGTTATTTTGGTATTCTTGGTTTGAATTCTACATAAGCTGCCCTAACAAGGTTAGAAAAACTAGTATACCCTATTATATTACACATAGTTGGGTTTCTTTTTATACTATTGATAACCCAACATAACCCCTAACTACTGTTCAGGTGATCCTGACACTTCTCAAACTTTTATTTTAAATCTACGATTCGACTATTGTAGCTGAGATAAAAATAGTGGAGTGATTTTTTCTTGTTTTATCTGTTGTCTTGGTATGCAGGGTTTGAATTCTACATAAGCTGCCCTAACAAGGTTAGAAAAACCAGTCTACCCTACTATATTACACATAGCTGTTTTTTTTTAATATTACTGATAACCCAACAGAAGGCCAAAGTGCCATTCAAGGTACAGAGTTACTGAAGAAGACGGAAGTAAGAAATCCATACTATCGGAACATGCCGACAACAGTTCATCCTCGACTTGAAGAAGTAAAGATCGTAGTGATTGGGAAAATATTTCCTCGGAGTATGTAGCATAAAGTAATATATCTTGACAAGACGATGAATGGAACATACTCAGTACTAAATGCATACTATGATTCGGCCTTGTGTGAAAGTAGAAATAGTATAGCAAGAGTTACCAAGGCTAGAAAACCCAGTATACCCTACTATATTACACACGTGGCCAAGTGGTTAGAACGATCGCATTCTGGCAACACGAGACCCAGGTTCGAATCTCACCATAGTCGATTTGTCTGGAAGGAGACTTCCTGATGTTATCGGACTTGAAGGGGTCGATCCCAGCGTACGACACCTTTGAAAAGGGTCTCCAAAACCATACCACGGGTTGACCAAAGCCTTGTGAGTGCAATTGGGTAGACGGAAACCTTGGGGACTGTCGATAGCTGTGCTATCACGAAGTCATCGTGGCCGAGGGCGTGAGCGTGATGGCCTTGTTCAAATTGGTGATCACGCTAGATAACGAACTCTTTCCCAGAAACTCTAACTAAGTTCTGCTCAGCATAGTTGCCGTATAAAGCACAGATTGTCTCAGTAGGTGTTGAATAAACACAAATGCGCCTGAGAAAACGTCTGCAATAGGGATTAGTTAGCCGCCCTAGTAGACGGGTATCCTCGAATACGAGTGGACAGCTACACACACACACACACACACACACACACACACACACACACACACACACACACACACATATATATATATATATATATGTGTGTGTGTGTGTGTGTATACATTACACATAGCTGGCTTTCATTTTATACTACTGATCATCCAAAAGAAGGCCCATGTGCCATTCAAACTAGAGTGTTACTGAATATGTTTATTGCATGTGCATAAAAGGAGAACTTAATAAATACATACTATGAGGCTATGTAGGATAGATAACGTTTGAATCGTGACATGAAGAGGTTAAGATTCTCTTGGGGGTCTGTTCCGCAAAGAAACCATTCTGAGGATGAAGCTAAAGAAATACGAACGAACTGAGAATGGTTCATGTGTGCATGAAAGTGTCTATAGTTTAGAAAAAGTATCAGCATTTTGTCCGTGGGAAATTGGTTGAAGGGTGGGAAAATTGTTAAGCACGTAGAATCCCGCGTAAACGTTGTTATTATTTTACCTTTGTCAAGGCATGGCAGTGAGGACTGGGCAGTTGTAAACTATAATTAGTTACTTGTTATGAATAAACACCAAAGGGTGCGCAGGATTGCCTCATCGGTGATGTTATGATTTGGGCTCATGACATGTTTCGGGTCTTTCAACATCATACTTGTTTACCCTAGAGACCCTACCGAAACTATACCTATTCCGGTAGGCAATTCTGAAGCAAAAATCCGCCATACAATAAGGTCAATAATTCATATAAAATTTCTTAAATTTAATATGATTGCCAAAGAACCCAATGAACGAAATGTAATGATCATAACAACAGAGATAATAATAATCCTTTGAATATTGCAAAGAATTTAGTTGCGAAGAATTTATTTTATCTTTTTCGAAAGGCTCTGTTTCGGTTTGGGAACATAGTAAATTTTGTGTTGCGATGAATACATATCTTAAAAAATAATTATAATATATATATATATATATATATATATATATATATATATATATATATATATATATGCACATGACAATAGTTTGTTTCAGCAATTAAGTAGATAACAATTACATGAAATTTACATGTGACATTTACCATATAAATATATCCTTAAATTTTAACTTCTATTGATTGATTCACACGAATTTTATGGATTTTCTTTAAAAAGCCTCTATATTATTAAAGAAGAATTTTTTTTTCTATCCATGGTATAATGTTCAACAAGATATTGTAAGTATCTGTTATGAGTTCCATCTTTAGAGAGGATCCATTTGTTTTAGCCTTGTAACAGCTTATGTTATTCTTAGTGAAATTATATATTGCTTTATTTTTTTCATATTTAGCTTTCAGATATAAGAAAAAGAGAATCGTATCCCCAGGTTGCCATGATGGGGGGACGATTTTATGGCCACAGAAAGTAGATATGCTGTGGGTATGTTAGTTTCCCTGGTGAGATCTGATAGAAGAAAATTCTGTTGAACGAGCAATGCATAAAATATTGATTACTAGATGGAAAGCTAAAAGACTAGGAAGTAGGTCATCTGATTATTTCGTGTGTCTTGGAAAAGAACAAATATATTATGTGACCGTTATTAAGAGGTAATAACAATGTTAGTTCTGTTTTCAAAATCTTCTTGAATTTATATAAAGAAAAATCTGTCAGTATTTCATTGACTTAGTTTAACAATGAAAACAGAAAAAATAAGTACATTTTAAGAATATTATGATTTAAACAAAAATCGATTGAAATGCTAAAACCGATTTACTTTTTTTATGGACAAGCAAATGAGATTATCTGAAAGTGTCAAAAGTGGTTTAAGAAGTTTTATGCTGTTTATTTTTCTCTGAACTGTAGTACAGGTTTATTCTGTCCTATTATATTTTTAATGTTATGAATAATCAAGAGTGATTTCCCCTTGTTTTATTGGGACTATAAAAGGTCAATATACGCGAGCCTTCAATTCTCAGTTGAATAAAGCTTTCTTAAAGCCTACGCCTGCGTACTTTCGTCATTACACAGGTTCTGCTTGACAAGGCAAATATCTATTTATATACCAAAATATATACAAAATATGAAATCTCTTATCTTTTATCTTTTATTCTTTTTAATGAATGTATTAAATAATTGAAGACAGAAAACAGCTCGTTATGAATAATCAAGATTGGTCTCCCCTTGGTTTGTTACTCCTCTCTTTACAAGAGCTATTTCTGTTTACTGGGACTATAAAAGGACACTAAACGCGAACCTTGTATTCTCAGTCAAATAAAGCTTTCTTAAAGCATAAACCTGCGTACTTTTGACATTACATAGTTTCTGCTTGATAAGGCAAATATCTATTTATATACCAAAATATATACAAAATATGAAATCTCTTATCTTTTATTCTTTTTAATGAATGTATTAAATAATTGAAGACAGAAAACAGCTTGTTATGAATAATCAAGAGTGGTCGCCCCTTGTTTTGTTACTCTCCTCTTTAAAAGAGTTATTTCTGTTTACTGGGACTATAAAAGGACACTATACGCGAACCTTGTATTCTCAGTTGAATAAAGCTTTCTTAAAGCCTACACCTGCGTAATTTTGTCATTGCATAATAATTATGATGAGCATAGAATCATGTTATAAATTTTTTAAAGTGCACACGAACTTTATGGACGCTCTGTATATGTCTACTTAAGTAGACATATATGTAAGTATTATCCTGAGCGTAGTGAAACATTGTGAGAATGAAACCTAAGGTTTCCGTGTTTCTCTTGCCACGGTCTGCTTACGGCCCGTACTTTCAAAATGAAGAGTCTGGCAAATTATGGAGAACTCAGTGCGTATCAAACGCCATTAGCAAACGAAATTAGCTTGCTCGATACTGCTGCCCATGAAATGCCTTCATATTTATGTAGTATATTTCTGATGGGATCAAGTAAATCGAGGAACAGTTATATATATACTAGCAGTAGAGCCCGGCGTTGCCTGGGGATGTAACAGTAAGAGATAGATCAAGTATCGACCATCATAAAGACTGAAAAATAAAATTGACAAAGATTATTGTTTAAGATTGACGGACACACATGTCTTAATTAGTTTTTTTTTTTTTGTTTTTTACGAATTGGTCAAACGCAAACTCAAACAAAAACATTGTTTTCAATCGTTATGAGTCTATCGATTGAATAGAATTTTATTATAAACAATTGTCTTGTAAATAGAATTTTTAAAGCATTCTGAATGTAAAAATAAAGAAAAAAATGTGCAAGACAATAAGAAAGACTACCTGCCAAAAAAAGTGAAGTTTTGTTGAAATCGGTTGAAAAATGTAGGAAATCCGATCCCATATATAAACGAAAACACACACACACACAAACAACCTGAGTTTTTATAATAAGTATAACTCGATATGAG